TTGCTGCAGACAGTGAGGAGTAGCTAGGTTAGGTTTGCAACAGTTTCTAGTAGGTGGGGAAAAGGTGCTTTTTTGTTAAGTGACACAGTTCATTAGCTGTAGAGAGAAGACTTCTTAGTGTTTGAAGTTCACGTTACATCCCAGCAGGTAACGAGAAGAGGCTTGGCACCAGGCAGCACTTGTTTTGATGCAGAAAACATGCACAAACAAAGCAGTTTTGAGTTGGTGAAAAAAAATCTTGTACTTGAAATGGAAATACTTGACTGCGTTCAGTCACAACTGTTTATTTGCTTCTTTCTGAGGAACAAAGCTGTTCTTTTCAGACGTGGGCACCAATAGATGGAAAACAAAAAGGTTCAGATCATTTTCAGAACTTTCTGTGGGTGCCTCATTAGTTGTGTTGTCTTTAGGAATGTTCTCCTGATGTGGGGACCACCATTTCTAAGAACTGTGGTACTGCAGGAGAAGTCAGAATACAAAGTAAAAGGGATAAACAGATGAGGAATACTCAGAGGAGACACCAGATCTGCTTTTTCTTAGATCTGAGAACAGGACACGAACCTGACCTGTAGCACTGCGACCGTTCCAACATTGAGCAGAGATTGCCAGCTGGGCTGAACAGCATTGAAACACATTTTGTAAGTTGCTGCCATTTGAAAGGATAGAGGCAACATGCTTTTCTGTCAGCTCATTTATTTCACATCTTTCAGAAAGAAATATGCAGTAGCATAAACACTTACCCTGTGCTTAAGCCAAAAGTAGCCCGGTATCTTGTCTTCAAGAGTGTCAAGAAGCAGGTAGCAAGGGAAGCATATGGTGACACATCCCCTTAAGTTTTCCAGCCTCCATTAATTTGCAAGAGAAATGAAGCAGCATAAGTAAAATCTAGTTCTAAAGTATTGCAGCTTTAAAAATGTGATCCAAAGTCAGTAATACTGTGTACTATTGATTACCTTTTCATTAAAGAGATGTGATGCCTTTGAGTCTGAATTTATTTAATGTGATACTTCCAAAGTAATAAATCTCAGAAATGCTGGAAATAACAATGATTTTTTTTTTTTTTTATTGAAATTCAAAGTTCTTCAAATAATGGAAGCCAGCCATTTGGTTATGTAAGTGCATCGAACAAGCTAGCTCGTTCCTGCTTTCTGAAATCATAACTAAATACTGAACCGTAGAGACAGATAGGATGTCCATCCTCATCTGTTCAGGGAAAGCAATATCCATCCAGACTGAAATCAGTACCCAAAGTCCATCCAAAGTTCAGTAAAAGTACTGGGCAGCTTCCCTCAAATAGTTTAGGGTAATGGAAAATAAAATCCCTGAAATGGAGAAGAGTAAACTCTGACAGATGCTTGATAGATACCTGTAGTGTCAACAAGGGGATTCATTTTCCCCTATGCCAAGACTGAGAAAATAAACATAGTAATAGCAAGAAAAAAAAAGCCACAAGGAAGGCATTAAAAACATTGGGAACAAATAAGCCAGACTGAATGAGCTTTGCAGTATGTCTTAAAGATCTGGTGTGCTAACTTTCATCCAAGAATATTGAAAGAATTAGATAATGAGACCAATGAATCATTATTGCTTATTTTTTCCAAATCACACAATGCTGGGGAATTCCAAAGAACTGGGAAAGGAAGATACTGCTGTTGTGCCAGTGTTCAGAAGTGGTCTCATGGAGCATCCTGGGAGTGGATAGGTGGTTTGCCTGACTTTGATTCCATGGAAAGTCATGTAAAGGGTGTTGTGAGAAAGAATTTACTTTGGTAACTGCAGGTCAGACAACATCATTATGTAGAAAATAAATATTGCCAGAAGTCTACCTTTCCTGACACTGTCAGTTTGCCTGGTAAGAGAACGGCACAAACATATGTGTATTTGATCATTTGCAATACATTTGATTTAGTCCTCTACTGAAATGAGATGGGCTATACATAATGAAGATGATCCTCTGCTGCATAAGCAGAGAAATATCATATAAATTATAGTAATCACTGTCTACAAAATCAGTGAGAGCTCTTTTCAAACTGAAAATCAAATCAAATCAAAGCAGAACTACAAGAATGACGTGAGGTTTGAAAAACTTGGGAGTAAATACAGCAGCTCTGCATACAAAACCATGTGGTTTCTCCTGTCTGAAGTGTCTGTACAAGACATTTAGTAGTCGAGAAGTTGTGATCCAAACGGAAAAGAAGCAGAATACAAAACAAGGGGTTAGGAATCTGAAAAAAAAGGCACGCACACACACACACACACACAAAGGAAGGAAAAATTACATCTCAGTTTAACAATGCAGGAAACAATCGTTCAAAACATCTCGGGAACATGGTTCAGCATCCTTCGCTTATACCTGTCTGTCAGCTTCAGATATTCCTCTGAAAGGTGTTGGAAATGGGGCCGTGCAGAAATCGTGCTCTTCGGGTGGTACATTGTGGGTGGCCAGATAATGCAAACGGACCTTACAATCAGAATGACAACAGTTTACTTTGGCAAATCTTCTCCCAAGGACAGGCTTTTTTTGATAGAAAACCTGACCACAGAAGGAAACAGGAAAAAAAGTTAAATGAAAAGTTAAATGAAAAAATTCTGGCCATCAGAGACTAGCTTAAATGCAACCCAGTGCAGTACAGTCTCATTGAAACCATGCTGAATGTCAGTGAGACATGTGGCATGTGCATGTATACGCATGTCTCTGTGCATAGGTATTTCCTTCCAATTATATTAGATATGCATCACACGTACCATAAAACCAATTTAAAAATTAAAACAGTCAATTTTTTAAAAAAAAGCCAGATATTATAAGGCTTACCACAGACAGACACGATGATGTTCTTAAGCTGGGAAAAGTATTACACATTGAAATAAAACTTTAAGTTTGGGCATTGTCCCAATCACATTGCCACAGTCCTGCATTTGGAGCAGGGAGGAGCATGCTTCCCATACCAGCGTCCTTCTCCAGGAGCTCTTAAAGGGTCTGATATTCTTAGCTTTTAATAAAGAACAGTCCAGTTCCAAGTGTCAGTATGAACATGTGTGTGTGGCAGTTTGCATTGCAACAACTACAAAATTCACTGCAACATGGCCATTCTTAGGAAAGGATGGTGGCCTGACGAAGCACCAGCTTGAATCTTTGGAGATAGGAGTTTAGTTCTTGGCTCTTTATTGAGTTTTACATATGACACACAAAGCAGGCACGTTTTTCTGCAAGTGGAAACCTCAGTACTTGTACCTACTTTTTTTTCCAGTAGTTTTACAAGCTTCTCACTTCATGATTCATGTCCAGACTCATATCCAGTCCTATCAGCAAAATAACAGTTTTGAGGAGGTTAAATAGTCTATAGTCTTTCCAAAACTACATATCATAACTGAGATCAGCATTAGAGAGGTCCCTAGCCTCTGCTAGTCTGTGATCTGCAAATGACGTTTATTTTCAGGGAACTGATCTGGCATGCCTAGCCTAGCACACAGAGTAAGAGCCACAGGTTCTATCACCCAACAGGTGTGTGTGTACAGGGAAGGTCCTTTTTCACAGATTGAAGATGCCTGAAAAGTCTTTGGAGTTAGCATCTGGAATCACAATTTCTTTCTCTGTGGCCAAATTTTTGTTTTCTGTATGAAAAGGATGTCTAAAGAGAAGGTGTGCCCAGGAACCTGAAGTTATCTTGGGCCAAATAAGCTCCAAAGGAAGATGAATTTTAAGAACCGGTTGGTGCTGCATCTTTGGGATGGAGGTTGTAAGCATCTGGCTTTTTCAATGAACAGGATTAACAACTCTGATGCCAATTTCAATGCTGCAGGTTCCTCTCTAGCAGCGCAATACCTAAGGCATTTTGTGGATCTAGTCCAGTGGTCTTTCCTAAAGGGACAGATGCCAAATCAAACGTCAGCTCAGCCATCACACCAGCTGGCCTGCAGTAGTCATCTGCAATTTTGATGTGCAATATCTTAGCTGATGCGAAATTTCAATTCCACTTGGCTTAAATTGGTGTGCAAATACGAAGGTCAAATCATACCAACCCACAACTGTGGCCACCTAAGAGCAGACAATATGGCTCTACTGACACACTTGGGGGAGCTTGAATGGGAATCTGACCTCAGCCAGTCAGTTTTCCAGCTGTGGAACGGGTATCCTAGCACATTCCTGATGGACTGGAATGTCAGGAGGGTAAATGCAAGATGCTCTGGAGTTCCACTGATGGAGAACATACCAATGGCATTGTTTCACATCACATACAGAATACAGAATCTCTTCCATAGGCACAAATCTTACACATTGCTTTTTTTTTTTTTTTTTTTTTTTTGGCTGGGTAATGTTCTTTACAGAGGTGTTTGTTGTACTTACCTAGGTCTGTAAAGTATATGCAAGCATTCTGAGAAGGAGGATGCAACAGAAATAGGGGAAAAAGCCCTACCAATTTAAGCAAATACACTTTAAGACAAACTATTACATATCTGTTCACAGGGAATACTGTGATTGCACCAGTACAGAAGTTTCATGTGTTGTTATTGTAAAATGAACTGTAATCACTACTGCATGAATATATTTTGATACTATGTGCACATCTGTTAAACGCAGAGCTTTATTAAATGTGCACAAATACTGTACATGCACAATTCCAAGAGTGCATGCCTGTAAGTCTAACGATGCTATTGCTGCCAGTGTACCTGTATTTTTGTTACTGAGTCTCTAATGGTTAAAAAGAACACTATGAAGAGATAGATATGCATTTTAAACCATATATGTAAGCTTGATTTATAATGAACTTGCATTTTGTCTCTGCAGTCCAGCTGTCAGTAAATCAACTGTACAGTTAAGGGCTCCTCTTGATTTTTTGCTTTTAAAAGTGTATTAATGACAAAACAAGGCTCTTAAACTACTGCCTCTGGCATCAGTCGTTCAAACATAGCTGTGTTGCACTTTTTAACAACCAAATTAATTCCACATGAAGAGTAGAAGTATTCACTCTTTTTTTCTTTTCCTTTTTCAAACTTTGCAGACGTCTTGCAGGAAATGGCTTGACATACATTCCTAAGGGAGCATTTGCTGGCCTTTTCAGTCTTAAAGTGCTGTAAGTAAACTGTGTGTTGTTTGATATATTTCTGATTTCCTAAATGCTCCAGGGATCTAATTAACCAGTGAAGTTTTGATCAAGTAAATTACATATTTTGATCAGCTCATTTTGAACAATTCAGCTGAAGTGAAGATACATATGAACATCATTAAATCTTTGTTTTTTCATATAGAAAATATCCTAAACACAAAGGTTGGAAAACATTAATGGCATTCTAAAAACAACTTGCTCATCAAGTAGATGTCTCTGTACAATATCAAAGGTAAAAATTGGTTCAGTTAATAGTTTCTTTAATTGTCTCAAAAGTTCTGAGTTCAGGTCTAAATACCTTTGGACTTTTCATGATCACACAAAAGTGGGGGTAAATTGCCTTTTCCTTTTCTTGAGAGCTGGGGTGGGGGAAATCATTATTGTAGAACACAGTGTAATTGAAAATCCAGTTCTTATTTTGTATCTTATTCTTTGCAATCTAATTACTCTAAGATAAATTATTTAAAATAACTAGACACTATATTACTTGGAGTAATAAGACAATATATACGGTTGATAAAAAATTATTAGCAGACCAAATTTCACTATATATCTACTGGAGGTGATCTTTGCCTAAAGTAAAGTTCATAGAAATTGTTTTATTAGCAAGAATGCCAACCTCCTAGGCAGTGTCAAGCTAAGCCAGATGCTACTATAAAAATATACAGAGCTCTACTGCAAAGATATGTAAGTGGGAAAGAAGTATGAAGGGCTTCCCACTCCATCTACTCTAAAGTTGGCCAGCTGTAGCTCTTGTTGGCCCTAGGAGCTTTAAGCCTGCCAAAAAATGATTTCATATACAATGTCCCAATATGCCTCATTTTGAAGACATGTACTACGTCAGCGTCACCCAAATGCAGTCCTTTTACATATGTAGGAGTTGGTCCAAACAAGTCTATTAGGCAGTGTGAATGGAACCATGCTCAAAGTGAAGAAAAGTTTCTACTGGAATGAAAAATGATTTTTCTGTCTTTGCACACTAAAAGATTGCAAGCAACCTTTCTTTTGAGAAAAATAATTTCATTGGGAAAGGTTTAGCAATTCTTACAGAGAAAAATTTATTCAAAACAGATCATAAACTCCTTATACATTTAAAAATCCTGTTGGCTATAGTAGCATCTTCCCAAGTCAAAATTTCAAGACTCAGTCCTTCCGAGCTTTATCAAAATAAAACACTGAAGTATTGCAGAAGAAAAAATAAATCAATACATGAGGATCACAGAAACACAGAATTGTAGGGGTTGGAAGGGACCTCAAGAGATCATCAGGTCCAGCCCCCAATGAGGATGACAATTCCAGAATCACTGGAGGCAATTAGGAGCTCACACCTATAAAAACGTATCCAAAGCAAGTAAGATTTAATCTATTAACTTCCTCACCTGCTCTAAAGATCCCACTTAAAGCTGATGTGTAGCTGTTAGCAAGGCTGTTGTGCTACGGGTACTTGTTTGGTTTGTAGAGAAACAGAATTTTGAAAAGGCCAGATGAATGGAGCATTTATGTAAATTGCTTATAATCTTCAGGTAAAACCGGTACAAAGGAGGTAAGCTCAAAAGAAAATTTGCAATAGAAAAAAAATACCTTTACTGTGTTGATTCTGTTTTTTTTTGTGCTACTTGAAATGTAGGATGCTGCAGAATAACCAACTACGCCAGGTTCCTACTGAAGCACTCCAGAACTTACACAGCCTGCAGTCTCTGTGAGTACACTTGATAAATCAACTTCTAAGCCTACATTAACAATAGTATATGAGATTACCTATTAATTACTTGTTAATGTCACTCAATAACGCTGAACCAACTTTTCCTTTTAACTCTCTTTGCGTTCCTTTTCAAGAGAATTGTACTCTCAATTAAACATCAAAAGTGACTGATTTCATTCCAGTAATTTCATGACACTGGTGGCTTATTTGCAGTGTTATATACTGGTTCACCATCTGAGAAGACACCCCTTGCCCTGCAATACTTTCTGTGTCAAGAATATGGTCCCTTGAGCACTGGTCTTTCCCCTGGTTTCTAGTTAAGATTCTTTACAGGTGAAAAGAAAGAATCCCAAACGAAACCCTTGGTTGGTTTGTTTTTTGTTTGCTGTAATTTTTTTCTTTTTAAGCAATATGGAAAATACTATTAACTTATGAAACAAAGTGAACTAGAGGATGCTTAATTATATTCTGTGCTTCAGGCAGGTCTCCATATTTATAGTTCTTGACTGTGCTGTGATGACTCAGTCCACAAGCTTCAGTTTTAACAGAACTCCTGCCAGATTTCCTAGACCAGGAGTGAGGATTGGCTGCTTCATGGTATGAATGAAATTATTTTGATGTGCTTCTGCCCCATAACGTAAGGACAGTTGTACCGCATCATGCTAAAAGCTGACCTAGCCCAGTATCCAGCTTTCAACAGCAGATGCCAAAGGAAAACTAAAAGGTCAGAAGAAGAATATAATAATACTCCCTTGGTAAACTGTCCCATCTGCCAAAGCTTGGGACTCACTGAACAGCTTCTTTGAACTCAATAGGTCTTAAAGGATTTTCTTTGTGAGTTTGTGAGTTTCTTTCTGAGTTTATACAATTGCTTTCTGAGCCAATATAACACCCATTATTTTCTATGGCAGAATATCTGCTGATCAGCTAACTCTGCATAGTTGTGGTGAACTACCTCCCCTAATGTACTTGGAACTTACAATCACTCGTGATGGTAATAGATGCTGATAGATGTAGGACTAAGGTATAAACAGTTGTTGTACTGCAGATTTTATACACTTCTATCATACGTCCATTAGTCATTAATGTTAAATTGTTTCTTAGTGGGAGCTATTCCCTGCATCTGGTCATCTTTGTCACTCTGTACTGAACTTCTTTCCAGTTCTTTGATAATGGATTTGAGACAAGTCAGGGAGGAACCAGACCTCCACAGAATATTGAGTGTCCACACACACTGGACTTACAGAGGGGAATTATGGATGCTTTTTATTCACTTTCTGGCTAACCCCCCAGCATTTGTCCTATTTAAATTTTTAACCCTTACTGAACACTCAGCTATGATTTTCACACTTATTACAACTTCAAGACCAATTCCTAGCATGTTTATGGCTACTCAGAAGTTTGTCATGTCAAGTGAGAATTGCCTTTTCCCCAGAGACGTGACTTTACATCTACCTCTACTGAAATCCTCCTGCTATTTTGTTGTTCGGTCAATTGATTAAAATTAGTGCCTTGTACTGCGATTGCAGTTCACATTTTCCAACTACAAAGCCACTCTTGCTGTCTCAACGCAGGATGGAGAAAAAGATGGGTAAATTTTCTAAAGTATCTACTGACTTTGAATGTACAGAAAGAAATATCTGGATGATTTAAGATAGCCAGGCATGTTCTTCTTTGGACATACAAAAACGTCATCTGACTTTGTGTGCTTTAGTTGATCATCATATATTTTCACAGAATTACTTTTAAATAAAATTATTTTCCTGTAGAGGTCATCAAAGAAGTTAAGTAACTATTGCAAAAAATGTTGCTACAGTGTGCAGTGATTACCACATCATTGGTCTAAGAATGACAAGGGTAGCACATATACCAAGCTATCTAGTCTGGTTACAGTTGAGATACTTTGATTGGGAACCATACTGTGCTAAACATGCTGTCTTCTTTTTTTGTGTGTAAAGAAGTTCTACCAGCAAGTTAACATCTTTTGCATACACCCAATTCAGCCAAAATCTGAAAAACAGAATTAATGAAATGTATTGATTTCTAGCAAAATTTTGTTGTCTGTGTGTAACTTACCACTACACAGGCACATACTATTCTGTTTTAGCTCCCAGGTGCTTATGTCCCTCTTGAACAATATTTACCTCCTTAATATACAAAGTATTCACTAAGGTTTGTCAAGGTGAAACAGCCTTAAGAATTAATTATCTTATAATTGTTATTTGGTCAGTGCCTTTTTTCTTTATTGACCAGACACAGACTGAAATATCTGAGCCATATACTTTTGAGGTTACAGTTCTTTCCTTTGATCTTCTAAAAAGTCATGAGAAAATGCTGGTCTAGTGACTATATTAGATTTTCTTTCTGCTAAACAAACAAAAAAAAATCTTGCTGAGATCACATCATTCTATACACACTCTGGACCAAAACACGATAAGCCAAGCAAACAAGAGTTCCTTTGTTGCTCTGAAAGAGACTGTTGAATTTGCAGCACAGTTTCTAAACAAAATGACGGTCTCACCCTTTCTTTTTTGCAAATACTCTTTTCCATAGGTGAAGAAGCTGAAGAAGTAAACCAAACATAGTTACACTGTGTATTCTATGTAAAGAAGTGGTGTTTTGTGACAGAATTGAATCAGAGGGAGAATAGGAGTGGTCAGGAGAAACCTTTAGACAGCTGTGTAGCAGACCCAAGATGGAACGATACGGGTTTGTACAGAAAAGCCACTATCAGCTGAAAGACGATCACTGGCGAAAGAGACCTCTTTGAACAAAAGAAGACTATTATTCTTTTGTTTGCTTAAACTGGGTTGTGCCTGTCAGATAAAGGTGTGCAGAGATTCAATTTCTTCTTTCATACAGTCTAGGAATTTTCTGTTCACAAGGTGGTTCTTGCATTGGTTTCTGATTTACAATAGGAGTTATTTCTTGAAACCTTCAGAATAGCAGCAGTCTTTTCAAGGGTGTAATTAAGAGGTTAAAAGCCTACACAAAGGCAATTTCTGTAAGAAAACAACTTCTTGTGTTTATTGTGTTTAACTAAACAGGTGGCATGGTTTCTGGAAGCCTCATTAACCCTTTTCTTTAGGTTAGTGTAGTTGCAAAAACCTGTAAACTGGTAACAGGACTTAAAATCTGCATTTTAAGTTTTCACCCAAGAAGGACAATCATGTAGAGAGGCAAACCATACTAATCATCTTTCTACCTTAATGCATGTGAAGAGGCTAATGTTAAAATCATTTTTATATAAATATATACATAATTGTGTGTGCACACACAATATATATGTATACACACACAAGTTTTCCATGTTCAAATAAAAATTCATCACAAATTTTTGCACAAAAAGATATTTTTGGATGATTTTCCCTCCTTACTGTCGAGTTCCAGGCTCAAAAAATGACATTACAGGTATTGATATTGATAGCCAGATTAATTGATATTAAAGGGCCTGTGGTACAGAAAGCAAGAAAATCTGCTGTGTTGCAGGGATGAACACCAGTTCTTTCCACTTTCTCGTCCGTGTTGCTATATTGTTGGCATGCTGAATAGCATGACAAGATTAAGTGATAAATACTCATAAATTTCCTAAGGCTTGAACTACCTTCAGCATACATCAGTCGCCTGCAGGCAGCAGGCAGTATTCACTATATACTATGAAATGAGAAACGACCACACACCAAAAAAAAAAAAAAAAAAAAAAAAAAGTTGTGTGTTTCGATTTCAACAGCAAAAAATCTGTGAGAAAACTGTAATACTGTTGCCTGAAAACAAACAACCATATTGGTTGTCTGAAGCAGAAAATTTAGATTTAACAATATTAAAATCTTCTCCAATTTTAGAAGTCTTTGTAGTTCAATAATCAACAACTGTGATGTGCTACTTTGGTTAATAAATGAGTTCAGCTACTGGTGCTTGGGTGATGATTGTTTTGGACTCCAATTCCCTTTATGGCATAAGGATTTAAGGAAGTAACCAGAACATATGAATTTTGAGATGTGGTTATCTCCAAGTTCAGCAGAAGGATATCTTCAGCTGATTATATAGGCTATAATTTTCTTGTTGTATCATGAATACAAATTATCTGGATTACTGGCCCTAACAATTCAAATGGCAGTCGTTTTTGTTAAGCCAAAAAGAGGAAAACATCTCAAATACCATGACTGAAAACGACCAACACACAATCACTGGTGTCACAACTTAGATCTTGACAGCAGGGTTTGAAGTGCCACTTAAATGCTCTCTCTCCTGTTACTCACTTTTCTTTGGAATTGACTGTAAGCAGATGGTGTCTGGATTTTATGTTTCCCAGAGCTCCAATATCTCCATTCTGCTTTTAAATCAAGAAGGCCTTTAATAATTTTAAATATATCTGTATAGTCCAAAAGCCTTTTACATAGGTATATTGATTTATTTTTCAAATATAGTTATTAATTAACAATTTCCTTGTCTAGCCAACTCTTTTCACTGAATTTAAGTATTTGTTTAAATAGCGTTGTGTTTTTTTTATTTCTGTGGTATAATTGTCTTTTCTAGTGACAGTTAGGTACTAGAATTGTCATATTAGTAATTTTTGAACAAGAAGGGACTGATAAAGAAGGCAATAACATAAGAATATATATTTTTTTTTACATTTGTTCCCTGAGCATGTTAACACAAATTTTAGTTTATCAGCAACTGGTAAGTTGGAGATCTTCATTTTACTGGTATTTAAATAAAAATAAATAAATAAAAAATAAAAATAAAAATAAATAAAAATTAAATGTTACTAAATAAAGGAGAAAAGTCTAACTGCTATCACTGATAAGGAAGTGAAGCTTCTACTATTCTTTTATTGAGACTATTGCAATACAACACTTTGAAGTCAATACTACAGATGAAACTTAACTCACTCTTTATTTTATTGTTTAGGCAATGTTATTAATGAGCAGCTTTTCCAACTGTGTTGTCAGACAGGAATAGTCAAAATCAAGAATAGATCAAGTACCATGTCATTG